GACGTAACCGTGGCAGCCAATTTGTTACTGCCCCCTCACCACTCTCTCTTTTAATATCATAATTAAACCAAGCGTATTCAAGGTCAGCAAGGTTTTATTAAACTATATCGTAGCTACACTAGCAGAGGGCCTCCAGTTGGTCCATCACTTTAGTCCAGAGTGAAATGTCTCAGTAAGTAGCCGATATGGGGGATTGAAATGTGCTCAGGTTATTTCTGATCCAGACGTTCAGGAGGTTTTTACCATGAGCAGAATTATCAGTAAAGGTCTGCTTGTCTCGTGATTTAAACCATAAAAGCACCAAATAAAGAAGTTTCACGGTACAAATCAGTGTCTTTACGACACTATTTGGCGTGTAGGAGATGGCCTGCTAGCCTAGCACCTGCTAATCTTGGCTCTCCTCTTTTCTGTGCTAACTTAAAATCTAGATGTTCGGGTAGATTTACTAAGAGACAAATTATCTGCAGAGGTCTCTTCCTCTCCAAAACAAATGGAACCGGTGATTTAAACTGGTATAAATACTGAATAAAGCAGTGTCACATTAAAAAAATCTGTTTTTCTGACACTCGTAAGGGGACAGCTAACTACAGTGGCTGACAGGAAAACTCAAATGGGCCTATCTAGAGCCAGTATTTGGATTGTTTGCTTCATGCTACTGTAGAAATATGGTGTGCAACATGGCGGACTCCATGGACAATGAATCTGCTCCATAACGAAAACACAGTGATTCATATTTTCAGGAAATTATATACTAAAGGAAACACTTGTTTTATTCCATTTCTGCCGATATATCCCCCTAAATCCTACACAGTGGACCTTTAAATGTTCAAACTTATGCAGAACACAGTGTAGGATTGTAAATATCAGACATTTAATCCTTTAAAAGTCTCCCCTTAAATTGAATTTAAATATAGCTTTTTGGTTTTGGGCATTTAAGTTGGAGTTGAACCCTCACCTACCACAGGCGGGCATCTGTTGAGACAGATGGTAAAAGTTGACCTCAGCAGGTTTGTTAATAGCTAAGTTAATCTTTATTTCACAAGGGCCAAAATGCCTCCACCCGTCCTCTGCTTTTTTTTTGTGAAATTTGGTGAAATCAGATGCAGTTTGTCTGCGAGACAGTCACAGAACTCGCTGCTGAAGCATGTTTGCCTCTCGGGGTTGGATTTGTATTTTGTGTGTTTGGCTGAAGGAGCGGATTTCTCTGTGTGAGGTATTGTTCCCTTCAGTCCCGTGTGGTCAAGAGGATTCAGGGATTTTGAGATTTGCTTTGTAGAATTCATTTCTTGGGAACAAGCATTTTAAAACAAAAGCAATTGCAGCAGCTTAAGGAAAACGAGCTCAGTAACCACACTCCCCGTTTGCTCATGTTTTATTAAGCAGCAAAAGAAAGGGGAAAAAAACCTGTGGGAGTACTTCCAGCCTGCGTCTGACTCTCTCTGCTCTTACATTTTGGAAACAATCCTTGCAGGATCCTGTTGGGCCGTCTAATAGGATTGTTGGGAGTCTGGAGGGGGTTAGTGCAGCCCCCAAATGCTGTCTGGCTGCTGTCTGCATTCAAAAAACATGATCCTGTCTTTTTTTTACTGATCTTGAAGGATTTTGCTGTTAGATTCTTAACGGACTATGTGACAAGCATCCTCATGCCTCCTTATGTGTTTTTATAGCCCAGTGATCTACAGTACAGTGAAGCTTGCTGCAGCAGCTCGGGTAGGGAGACAAAAACGCTGCCAAAGTAAAAATAGACTGTGGGAAACAGATAAGGGCAGCGAGAGACGGAGCCGTCCCTTTTTGCCAGTGGTTAAGTTGATGGCTGAGCCACAGTGAAGCTCAGATATGACACCCAGCACTTGTCACATGGAGTAACCCCCTCCTTCCCCTCCCTGGACTATAAACACTGTGGAGAGGACTTGTTGTTGACTCCATGGGGACCGACCTAGTTCCCTCTCGCAGCTAAAGGTCACATGTCTTGTGGCTCTGGACTGTCCGTGTGTGCAGACTTCACTTCAAACACAGACAATGAGCTGGGAGGATGTAACAGTGAGACATCAACACCTACAGTGACCAGACCAGGGGAGCAGAGAAAATAATAATAATCCTCTTTTTTTTACTTGTTCTTGAATGAGTTCCAAGCCAAACCTATTATCTCGAATAAAACTTTTACAGTTTTGACAAATGCTTCCAACAAATCGTCCCCTGAGCCTCAGTGGTGGTAGGAGTGGTGGTGGCTGTGGTCAGCGGAGGGGAAGGAGGCAGCTGGTGCTCCTATTAGGCGGTATTAGCTCAGCGCCCTCAACCGCAGCCACAAACTTATCTGCCGCACTCATTTGCAATGGAAAAAGCAAAGCCGATTGGGGCCTGTCTGCCGGCCGAGGATGACGGGGCCGGAGGAGAGAAGCCTGGCAGGCTCTGTCGTCACCCACTGTGACGGCTTTACTGCTCTGTTTACATTAATATACAGTAACGTCATGTGTGGACTCAGCAGCAGGCGGGCAGCAGGATATTTATAGAGACAGATTTTATTTAACCTCCTGCATTCATCACGACAATGTGATTGATTTTGTGTTTTGTATCAACTTATAAATCTGTTATTTATAGTTTCACCTGTCTGATTGTACTTTAAATATAAGATAAAATATTTAAATGATAAATATCATGATAAATTGACCATTAATTCTTCAGGTTTCGACTAGCAAAGGTTGAGTCCATGATCTTTATTTTTTTACTAGAATGAAATGCGGTACTTTCATAGAGTGCTCCATTTTCATAGAAATCCAGGGATTTTCATAGTATTTCAACAAGTTGTTTTTAGAGACATTTTTTCAAGTCCAAACCGAGGAAATCTTTCAAACTTTTAAATGAGCCACACAGTCCTGTCTGTCTTTGTTAACAGCAGACTATTTACATTATGTTTTGTGTTGGCAGCTTACTGGGGACAGGGGAGAGGGGTGGTGGAGCGGTTACCTCTGCCAATTAATAATAATAATAATAATAATAATACATTTTATTTATAATGCCCTTTTCATCAAAAGATCTCAAAGTGCTACAAGTTAAAACTACAAGTTATGTCAGGTGTGGGCCTTCAGGGCTAGAGCCAGGTGTAACAGGCAGCACTGCATTTTCTTGACAAACAAATTCAATTAATAGTTTTCTTAATTTTGAATTACCTTGTTCTAAGGTTGGTTTGTCGCTTGAAGGGAGTTCAGGGTGTGATTTCACACATTCACCCTACCAGCATTCAGTGAAGAAGAATATCAGAGTCAGAGCCAATTAGAGGCAGACTAGGGCGGGTCTGGGAAGAAAACAATGCTACATACAGTGACAGACCTGCTAAGTCAGGTGCACTGTTGCAACCATTAAAAATATTTACTCATACATGACAGATTTTCGCTTGCACGTGCAACCAAAAATAGTTGCACTTGGCCCTGAGAGAAGACAATAAGCAAACAAGGATGTACACAAGTCAGGTTCATACATATATATATTTTTATTTTATATTTTTTATTTAAAAATAAATTAATACATTTTGATTTTTTTTATTTATTAAAAGATAAATAATCCATGATTTTTATTATTATTATAATTATTATTATGATTTTTTTTTGTTTTTATCTAACCATCAGCTCCCTTAGTGGGAACATTTTTCTTTTGTTTTTTCTTTCCTTTTCTTCTCATTATTAATACTAATTCTTTTCTTTTCTTTTTTTCACCTTTTTACATTTAGAGGTTGAGCTCAGTGTCTGCAGGTGGTGATTACATACAACACGACCAATACACACAATGCAGGAACAAACATTCAATTCGTACAATAGAAATTTCATTTTGGCATAACAATATTCCAAACTAGCTCAACCGCAACAAGTACAAGTTTTCCCCTGCATGCAGGAAAAGTGTCATTTTTGAGTTTGTCTGGCTGGAGTTGACGAGATTTTGGTGTGCAGGATGACTTTTCTGCAAAATGCGATTACCCATAACACCTTTCTCTGTGTAGATCTGCAGAGACATGCATCTTAATTCCTGCCTCATTTGGAAGCAAATGCATTGAACGTGTTTGTTACACCTCAAGGACACACACACACACACTGCATTTTGGTGAGAAACACTGAATGTAAACAGAACAATATTTGTTTAGAAGGAAACGCCACAGGGCACCTTTAACATAACTTGTTCCTCCCTCCGTGCGTTCGAGCTAACAGGTTTTTCAGCATGTACTTAGGGTTTGCAGAATCATTAAAACATCAGTACTGTACTTGGTGTGTGTGTGTGTGCGTACAGTTTACTTAATATCCAACTAAACTGCATCTTGGCTGTGTTTTTATTGACATTTCATTCAGAAAGCTCAGACTCGTCATTGTTCAGGCATCAAAGTCTCCTCTCATATCAGCTGTTAGACGCTGCTGTAGAAGCTGCTTTGTCATTGTGCAAATACACTGAATATCTGTAATGCTGCTTGTCAGCAATGAAGCTTGACGTCTTTAGTCTGCAGCAGGGAAACATGTGACTTTCTAGATTTTGTCTAATCTCATTGATTTTGGCAAGTATAGTTTCAAAACCAAAATTCCCACCTGCATTTTGAGGGTTTCTAAACATGCCAGCAGCTTGTTAAATGATTTTCGAGTAAATATTTTGCATTAAGTGAAGTACTGGTAAGAAATCTTGAAGTTTATTTCTTCTGTATGATGTAACAATGAGCAACAAGGAAATGAGAGTCCAACTTGAGTTCTCAGGAAACATCTCTTTCATCATCATTAAAGTTAATGTGTTGATGATAGGCTTGCTCAGACATCTCTGCCTCTCTGAGCCTCATTTTATTTCTTACCTCCAGCCAAACTTGTGTGTGGGAACCTCAACAAGGTGGAAGAACGAGTATGCACAGCAGTTGCTGGGAGAAAAGCACCCCAGGGCGTCAGTTGCTAACATTCTTGTACTCAGTGGTGTGGTGCAGCTCTGTATCGTCTACTTACATGCTGTTCTCTCTCTGTTTCTCTTTCTCGTTTCAGTCATTTCAAGGCAGTCAAGGAAGAGCCTACCTGTTTAATTCAGTGTAAGTATGAGACCCACACCTACAGTTTATTTCTCCAGAATGGAAAACTCTGCTTTGTTGCTCTTTCTGTGCATTTATTCAGGTTCAGCCATTGTTATTTACAAGTGATCCGGGGCTTGTAAATAAAAGTTACGTGGACTCACAAGCAGCTACTTTGTTGGATGGAGTCATAAACCGTGTTCACACTGGGTGTGCTTGTTTGAGTTTAAACCAGAGATCAGAAGTCCCCGCTTTACCTTCACCTACTGCTTTGCGTTCACCCTTGTTTGCTGTTGTTCTCTGTGCAGCTGTTTACTGTTGCTGACACAGTGACTGCACACCTATGTCAAAATTATGTTTTGATGCACATGCACAAAATTTTAACAATGTACAGGCAGGTGGAGCCACAGGTATCTTTACTAGCCACACAAAAATTAAACCAAGGGATACACTTGTAAAATTCACATCTGTCACTACAGATTTTACTCCCAATTATCATGTTTAAGTATCTGTTTCAACAAACTATATTACATTGGATTAACGCTACACAATCTTTGTCCAAAATCCCCATATATACACCCATGTAGGGAGCAGTTTGAGGTTTGGTGTCTTGCTCAAAGATACTTCATTAATAGGTTACTCCAAATTTGGAGAAAAAGGATTAATATGAGTAAAAAAGTAAATGAAATAGAATAAAAAGTAAATGCACCACCCCTCCTCTAATTAGAGTTGTTCCGATATAAACACCAGTGTGGGCAATGCCTTTGACACTACCTAAAATACTGGATTAGATATCAGGGAGTACGCAAGTCTGTGCACCAATCAGATGCCATGTAATTTATTGATAAATTCTAAACCCTCTAAGGTCGTTGATGTCGTATACAACATCAAAATACCCTATTAACCAATTTTAGAGTATCTCTGAAACGCTGTGGTCCTCTTTAAATGGCCTCCGCTTTATCACTGTTGTAGCTTTGTGCTCTGGTGTGATCAGATGCCTTTCAGACATTTTGTAATCTAGCATGGATCACCTGTGTTTGAAAAAAACAAACAAATAAATCTAGCATGAATCACCTGTGTTTTAAAAAAAAACAAATAAATGCCACAATGAATTTCTTTTATGAGTATTTATCTATATATCCATGTTAAAAGGAGTTGTTTTCCTTAGCCATTAAGGCTAATTTAAACTCCCTTTACGTAAGAAAATAGATACATCCGTTTCAAACATACTGACGTGTCCTTTACGTTAGCATAGATACAGCCAATAGATGGCACTAGAGGGCAGAGTCAACAGTTACACGCAACACACAAGGCAACGATGGAGGACGTTGTAATATTGTACCTTTAAACGGAGGCAGCATTGAAAACAGCGGTGGTCTGTGCAGCCAGTATATATATCTTGACATGTGGAAAGAAAATTCTGTGCACTATTTTCACTATATATTATTGTAGTCTATATTAACAATTTGTTCTGTCATTATTTAAATTTCTTCATTGTTTCCTACGGTCATATCTCACTTGAACTATGCTACACTGCCTCCACGATCACCAGTGGTACTGCCCCATTTTGCTCTCAGAGAACGTGCGCAAATACAGACATAATAGCGCAGAGTACGAACTTAAGTCCCTGTACATCTCCATCTCTAGCATTTAGAACAAATAAGCCCTTAGCGGAAGCCTGTTGACAAATCAGAGGCTGTGTTGCTGTGTGCGAAACAGCACTGAGCCCAGAGGTTATGCACGGTGGAATAATTTGTCATTCACCCATCAGCAAACGAAATAATGAGTGGAATACCATGAGCGTAATAAATAATGTATAGATTATTCTTTGCGCACTTGGACAGTATTATTAGACATGCACCCAGGGTGTACTGAGCAATCCATGGATGTAATATATAATATAAGGTATCTGACTTCATGATATGGCAGTGGGTTTGTAGTCTACAATATCTCAACTTCTTATACCCTCGGAAAAAATATTGCATCCAACTGAGGTGCCTCTTTGTCCAAACACCTATGAGACATGGTATTAGTGCACTGCTGCAGCCACAATGTGCATAGTTTCAAAATTGGACCACCTCTTTTAAGTGGAGTTGGGTAGGATATCTTGGTTACCTTGAAACACTTTTAATTAAGTACTTAATTGCCAGTGTGAAAGCAGAGGGGGCAGCAAAGATATTGTAGCAACACAGGGAATCAAAACCAGTCTGATTCCAGTCTCTGCCACATGTACCCAGTAAGCACCGATGTGGTGATTTGCAGGTCAAAAGAGGCCGAGACATTTATGTTAAAACTGGGCTGAATCTGTGTTAAATATAAATGTTTCAAAAGCATGAAAATGACTATATTTTAAAGTGACTCAGGTCCTTGAAATGCTGTTGAAACGATGGTTAAATGGAACCTAGACATCCAAAAAACATTCATGTCAGTCGATGCTACAGCAGCTGCTGGTTAACATCCATCTCTTTAAACCCATGAGCCACTTTTAGTGGTTTATTTCTCGCTTGGTCGGTTCTCGGGCATTGGCTCTCACTCTTCATGAACCACACAGAAGTTTCTCACCCCCCTTGGAGGTCTGAGACATTTTCAGGTGTCACGCTGCAACTGCTTTGTGCCACTCGACTCTGAATTACATTGTTCCTACCTGCCAGAATGAACTGAGTGAAAGAAGCACTCTACAGGCGCTGGAGTCCAAATAAATCATTCCAATCATGCCCGATGTGAAATCTACTGAACAATGTTTTTGGTGCTTTGCTGGTAAAAAGACACGTAGCCTAAGAACAGATACATTTGGTGGAAAAATAAGAGTTTTGCAGATGTCTTCATGTAGCTCAGTTACATAAAATGATTTATTTGTCAGTGGCATTTCCTTTAATTCTGCTTTAATCAGGAGCACAGTGTTTACTAGGAGGGAGTGGTGTATTGTTCAGTAAGAAAGTACAAATATACAACAAAATCCAGAAAAAAACATTTAATTTCCTTCACCAAATAAGTGTTTATTTATTTAGTTCGGTATTTAAGTACAGTTTTAAAGTATTGGCAATGTCGTTTTTCCATTTTGTGAGACTTTCATACTTTCCTCTTTTACAGTTATGTGAAGATATAAAAGATAAGATAAGCTCTAAAAATGTCACTGTTGTCAGATAAAACATTATCTCAAAAATGTCATCTTTTAGGAGGTCTAAGCAGTTTTTTTTTAAGCTTTATGGCAATGTATTTTTGACACGTGGAATTTCTTTAACAGTTTAAAGTGTAAAAAAAAATACCCCAAATTGATAAAATGTCATATATGAAAAACCTAATATCTCATATATGGAGAATAAGTGAGATAAAATTGGAAATATGAATGTTTTCACTTATTGTATCTTCAATTTTGGGAGATTTATTTCATTTTTTCACCCAATTTTTTGATAATTAACATATACCAAGTACACTTCGACAGGGACTGTGCCTCACAATGTGTATTTGTACTTTGAATACTTGTGTACTGCTTCTACCTTAAACCATGTTGCACTGCTATGTTTTTACAGAAACCCAGAACAGAAAAACAAAGATAGATAGGGCCATTAGCGTTTTTGCGGTTTCATGTCAGCCACCATAGAAGCCCCTTCATGATGAGCAGCATCAGAAAAACACTGGGTCTGTTTGTTCTGGGGAGGAAGAGCCCCCTGTGGATAATTCAGCTGTCAGTAATAACCTCCCCAATATCTGGATATTAAGTTGTCAAAGAGAAAACATGAGCACACATTAGCTGGTGCTAGGCTAACAGCCCTTGTCCGACATGCTAAACGGCACCAGAGAAACCCTCATTTGTAACGTGAAACTGCTTTAATCAGAGTTTTTACCGGCTTTAATCACCGGGTCTGTTTGTTTTAGAGTTGAGGAAACCTCTGCGGATAATTCAGCTCCCGCTAAAAACCTCCTGAACAGTGAACACTGAAGGAATTCTAACCAGTCCACGTAACTTTTATTTCAGCTGGTTGCAATCTGCAGTCCTCACCACTAGATTCCACTAAATCTCCCTAAATCTTACACACTGACTGGACCTTTAAGTGAAAAATTTTAGCTCCTCTTCTTCTTCTCTGCCTGACCTCTATGACCTTTTCTCCACTTCCTGTCTTCCCTGCAGGGTGAATGTTGGCTGCGGGCCAGCTGAGGAGCGGGTACTCCTCACAGGTTTACATGCTGTGGCTGATATCTACTGTGAAAACTGTAAAACCACCCTGGGCTGGAAATATGTAAGTCCCCTTAAACTTTCACCCAAGGCCTTTTACTCTCCCCCCTTAATGCTTCTTGATGCACCACTTAACGCCAGCTGCTCTGTTGTTGCACCACGATGTGGTTTCTTGGCTTTGCAAGGGGGCAAATGATGCTATTACAGGTCAAAGGAACAAGGTTGCTCTCATTAAAGCATTGCTTCTTAAAGCCATGGTGACAGTTTTTTTTTGCTCAGGGTTGTATTTAGGCTCAGAGATTGAGCACTCTGTGGTCTCCTAGAGCGCGAGATAATTACAGTGCCGAAAGGTTGGCTGCAGACAGCCAGACTGGTACCTCTGAGAGTCTACAGTGATTAAATGTCAGGCCATTTTGAAGAGGCTTGTCCCAGTAATTGTCTGAAAAGACTATAGAAGGGTGTAAAATAACTGAACAAAGTATGAGACAGGGACTCACTTAAAGGCGCTCCTTCAGTGACAAAAACAATTAGAGAGTCTCTGAAAGGCCCCCGCAAGCAAAGCAGAGCAGAGCTGGTTTACAAGGCAAAGCAGAGCTGAGCAAATAATCAAAGACACAGACCCACGACAACATCCTGATTCTCCTGAAGCCCAGCAGGACCGGGACATATGCCGGGAAATCATACAGCACTTCGGGAGATGTGTTGTCAGACAGGAAGTTGAGATATTTGAAAGGAGGTGATTTGGTCACTGGAGGAAAGCTTCATTTGCAGTTCTTAAAAAGCGCTTTTTGTTTTCCTCTGCAGCTCTAAACTTCCTGTTTCTCTCAGATAATGAGGCCGGATGAATAAATGTATATTTGTCTTTCTGCCTATTTGACTCGAAATCAAATTCACTGCTGGGTTATTGCATACTTTATTACATGATGTGTGCCTCCTCTGCAGTGTTAAAATAAATGCATTTTCGAGTTTTCTCCATAATTTACATAAAAGCATCTAAAACACTTTTTCAAGACCACAGACGCATTTCACAGCGTTTCTCTATGTGGGAGAAATGACGCAGAAATCAGTGAAATTAATACTTACTTTCGAAACAGCAGTTTGACAACAATAATCTAAACTTAGGATTCAATTACAGGAGCTTTCAACCACATCTCATTTGCTCAGTTGTCATGGAGATCATTCATTACAAGACTGAAATACACAACAAAATGCTGTATATGGGGCCAAGGGAGATTTCTCTTATTAGCCCTTTTTACACAGAGATTGCGCTAAAGGGCTGCGATGAAATCTCCTCTTTCCATTTTATACACAGATCCAAATGATAGCAGCATCAGCGTCGGCCTCTGGTGTGACATAACATACGCATCACCAGCACTTTATAAACAAAAACAATGACATAACATGGCAATAACAATCATTCACAGTCCCTGTTATATAGCAGCTGATCTCGTCCTCTGCTCGGAGGGTAAGGAGCTCCTGAATCTTATTGTTTTTTCCAATCTGCAGACATTTTTGGCTGCTTTTTTTCTTGTTTGAGTTAGCTGCTAACTGCTATTTGCTGCCTTTTAAATCTCCCGCAGTGGGTTGCATGCACAGCACGTCGTCGAAACGTCATCCTGCCCATGGCTGTCCTGTTTATACAGACACCATTTTAGCGCTGTTACTTCCTCCTGTGGCAGATAATCGGCGAGACCACTCTTTCCCCCCATTTCGCAATCGTACCTTATTTACAAAACAGCCAGGCGGCATAATGGCGCGATATTTCCGCCTTTAACAGTGTAAAAGGGGATATTAACAACTGAGGGGTTGAAGTGCCAGAAAAAGCCTGTAAGAGGACCTTGAGGACCTTAAGATTTTTGTTGTTTTTCATCAAATTCATCTGAAAATGCTACAATGGGCATAACCCTGTTTGACACATTAAATCGCCTTTGTATAGAATTTTAAGTGATTATAGCGTCTCTCAAATTATTAGATTATTTTTACTGGTATACATGGCTAAACGACTGTATTTTGTAGTCTTAAATTTTTCCCTGAAATTAAAATGCCAACTGAAAAAAGAGTTGGATACACTAGTTGGAGATTAAATCCACAATGTGGCAATGGTGATAAAATTGTACTGCATTCTTCATAATATTTTTTATCTTAAATACTGTTATGACCTTAAAGGGACAATTCGCCACCTTTTATGTTGATGTCCAGCCAGTGTTGACGGTAATGTAGTCAACTGAAGCAGTTATTTCCTTAGTGTGTGCTATATAGGCTGAGGAAGCTGAGGAGCCATGCCAGTAGTGCCTACATGTACCAGGATGCATTTCGTGCAAGTTATGGACGCCCAGCCAAAACATAGCATAGCCTGCTTATGGAGGTAATAAAATAAGAACTCTGCAGGTAGTATGTGTAAATAAACTGTGGTAAACTTCCCTACTTTGAACCAGTGCCTTAATGTACTTCCCCATTTTCGTTTTGCCCCGGTCCATGCCGCCACCGTGAGCACAAAGAGTATGGAAGTGGCTCAAGAGATGGACTTGCCCCTCTCTGTCTCTCTCAGACCAAACTCAGATCAAAAGTTAGGCAGGAGTGATCGAATATAAACCAAGATTATGTGACTATATTGCCTATTTCTGGCCTAAAATATTTTTAGAAATATATTTTAGTGCACTGTTTAGCTGTAATAGCGAGAGTTTGTGAACAGGAAGTGAACTGTTTCCTACATAGGGAAAATGGTGGTTGAAAAAAATGGAGCTCAAACAGTAAATCTAAGCAGTTCTGATCAAATTTGAACCAAAATTCTGTCACTGTGTTGCCTTTTGTTTTAGCTTACCGTTAAACTGTAATACGAGATTGTTTGTTAGCCGGCAGCCATTATGGCAAACAGACGGGCTTGCATTACATCACCAACCAGCAGGAGCGTTTATTGGTCCAGTGCATCGCAGTGCATTCTGGGAGTTGTAGGTTTTTTAGCTCTTGGGCAAAGGGAATGCCACAGCACTTTATCTCTGTTTTCTCTGGTCATGTAGCACCAATTTCTTTTTTTTTTTAAAGATATTTTTAGGGCATTTTGCCTTTATTGGACAGGACAGGTAAGTGTGAAGGGGGGAGAGAGAGGGGGGGGGATGACATGCAGCAAAGGGCCACAGGCTGGATTCGAAACCCGGGCCGCTGAGGCAACAGCCTTGTACATGGGGTGCCTGCTCTATCCACTAAGCCACCAACGCCCCATGTAGCACCAATTTCAAAAGTATTTGCGTCTCTCTACTTCATAGACAGCCCAGTTTTATTAAAGGACAATCTTTCCAGTGGTGAAATACTTCTTCAAGTACACTACTTGAGTAAATGTACAGTCCACCGCTGCTTGTCACTAAAGTTTTTCTCTTTTTTCTGTTTTTATTTTTACCAGGAACACGCGTTTGAGAGCAGTCAAAAGTACAAAGAGGGAAAGTTCATCATCGAGCTGGCTCACATGATCAAGGACAACGGATGGGAGTGACGCTCCTCTTTTCTTTCTCTGACCTTGGAATGCTCTTTATTGAACTGCGTGGAGCGACGACCATCGACCACCCTGCCCCCCCTCCCGAACCCCCTTTACAAAAAAACAACCTCCACCCCCTTGCCTCCTCCACGTGCACACACACCCACCTGCTCATCGTGAAACTGAACAGAACAAATGACATTTAAAAAAAAAAAAAATAAACCCGACGACGAGGAAGTGGAGCAACTGTTGAAAAATCACGTCACAGGAGTCGTTACTTTAAAGATTGTGTGTTCTCCTTCGCAGCGCCGGACCTTTTTGGGTTTGACCCTCCCACCCGCTCACTCTCACCCCCTCCCCCCCCACCGAACCACGCTTACAAGTGATTGTGGTGATAATGGCGACCACTATGCGAACGGAGATAGACTTCACTGATGGGACATCTTTGTTTTCTTTATTTCGCCCACCCAGCGAGACGGATGATAATTATTTTAATGTTATTTGCTCTAGTTTTAACTTCTGGGTTTGGTAAGGTTTTGGTTTGATGGCAGATGGATGTTACTGGTTAGCATTTTATTTCCCTGTCAAGTCTGTCATGTTTTGTTTTAGTTGTTTTTTATTTTTTGGCTCGTTGTATCTCTGCCTTTAGCTGAGCATGCTTTTCTTTGCTAATGTCCAAATGAGCAATCAGGGACAGGTGAGGAGCGGAGGGGAAAGGGACTTTATTGTAGTTACAAATATGTAGCAGCATCTTGCTTTTAAAAAAAAAAAAATGGCAAAGGATGGGATTGCAGTAGTGTGGGATTTTATTCCTGATATTTTTTTCCGTTTTAATCTTTTTTTTTTTCTTACGAATTTTCTTAATTTCCCCCCTTTTCTGGTACTTTTCAGCACCCAAAAAACATTGGAAGCAGCACCTATTTGTTGGATATAAATGGATATATATATATATATATATATATATATATATATATATATATATATATATATATATATATATATATATATAGATATATAAATATTTGTAGTGTTTGGCTAAGTGCGATTGTGGCTGGTCCCATTTTGCAGCAGTACCACAAGTGAAAAAGACATGAGAAGAAGCAGAAATACTTTCTAGACTGGGAACCTGACATCAGTGGCCACATGTCATAAAGCATTAGGGCAGACTGTATTATTCCATTGTCTAGTAATGAAACAATAAGAGACACAACTGCATATGAATATATATACACACACATACTATGATGACATATCCATAAATACTATGAAAATGTTCGTAGTACGTAGATATTGGAACATGGATTCTGAATATATATTTGCTGTCATGCACATATGTATATATGCATATGACCGTGTGTGTATATGCATTGTGTGTGTGTGTGTGTGGTCACGCATTACACAGTGACATACTTGAACGATGCTACTTCGTTTGCACTTTGCAGAGGCCTTTGGTTCATCTCAGTTTAGAGGCAAAAACTTTGTTCGCTCTCGTCTGTTTTTTGTTTTTTGTTTTTTTCATTTAATGGCCTTCTCACAGACAGATTGTTGGAGACGGAAAGAAAGTTCGACCTGGACAGTTTGAGGGGTTTACGCTGTCTCCATTAAGACTGTAAAGACGCTTCTAGATCATTTAATTTGAATTACATCGACAAATTCTGCTTTTCCTCTCTGCTTGAGAAAAGTGTAGTTTCCGATGATTCTTTGCTGCTATCGTAGAAATCCCGTCGTTTCCTTCCCGCTCTTGTAGGTCTTTTGCACTTTAAATGCTTATCCGTCTCTCCTTCTTAGAGTGTGTGATTCCTCTCTTTGTGATTTGCCTCTAAGCCGTATGAATCTTGTGCCTCTTCAAAACATGATCAGCCTCCCCTCTTATTTTTCTGTTGTGCAGTGCATAACTCCAAAAACCTTTGTGTGAACCGATGTGTCTTCCCCCCCTTTCTGGTTCAAAGTGGCCCTCAAAAAAACAACAACACCAAAATCCTCATAGAGCTCTTCCCTGTTTTGTTTTGTTTTTGGACAACAGAGACTTGGTATACATACACACTTATATTTTCTACGTTAAGATTTAGAGGTGCAAAAACAGATATTCAGTATATTATTTCTCAGAGTGAAGCATAGAGGAGGAGGATCGGAGTGTGCAGGATGCCCAGGGCTTGTTGTTTGACTTTTTATTGGAAGGATAAAACAAGATGGCAGCAGGTTGAGGTGGAGGTTGGGCAGGGCGGGATGGGAGAGATTTAAAAGAAAAAAAAAAAATCAGCAGTGATTGATTACTTTGCCGGCAAGGTCAGTCAGATCACACGACCTTTTATCCTAAAAACGTTGACAATGCAAACCCTTAATAGTTAGCAGTGATACCTACTTGAAAATATAAAGACATAAACAGCTGAGATATTGGCCCGTGTTACAGTTTTTGTACATAAAGTAACATATTTAAGGTTTTATACGTATTTCTACTGGGTTAGTTCTTTTACTTCCCCAACTTGAAGCACTTTTGTTCACTGTACCTCTGGCTGTGTGCGTCTGTATGTGTGTGTGTTTGGGTGTGAGTGTGTGCGTGTGTGTGCATGCATGTGTATTAGCCCACATGCACGCCTGCACACAAAAGTGAATGTTTAGTTTCTTTTCCTCAGACAGTTTATTTCTCTTTTTGTTTCTCCTCTTTTTTTGGTTTGGAAGTGTTTTTTTTTGTCCATTTGTTTTTTTTTGTTTTTTTCTTTCGCAGCTGTTTGGTTTCTCTCCCGGTGATCTGTGAGGTCGAGAGCCAGGTTAGTTTGTTTGGAAGTGATTTATCCCTGTTTTTTTTTCTGTTAGCTTGTTTATTTAGCTTGTGTGGTGAGAGCCCGTTAGAGGGCCGATGTTTAGGTCTCTGCTGAGCCATGTAGACGTTGAGGGCGAGCTGGAATCTCCCACCATGTCGCAGGGAGAGCCTTTACCAAGACCCTTTCGCCACCACAGTCAGTGTCTCCTGTGTAGAGGGATTTCAGGCGATGAAACAAACCCTCTGGCGGCCATATTGGAGGTCCTTAGCTTTTTTTTGCAACACTGGTTGTGAATATCTGATTGTATTTCCTGAGAACTTTTGAATTTCTGTGCTGGTTTTGACCGAAAATGAACTGTTACTTCCCTGAATCTATGTGATTGATTGTTTTGATAACGTTAGCTTCCTGGGCTAAGTCACTGCATCCCTTGAAGTTTGCATTTCTACACTCTTTACAGGTCAAACAAGGTCTGTTCTGTTTTAAACACTCCTTCAAATGCAGGAAGTTCAACTGCACATTCATTGTTAAAGAGCAGCGCAGCAGCTGAAAGTCTTGTTGTTCACTAACCTGGCTGCAGTGATGTAGAAGTGAACTCCAGGGTGTGTTAGTACCCCATGACATCACTGGTGGGTGTGGTTACAGGTGCAACTGAGCACATTACGGACTACAACCATCAGTGATGCTGGAGAGGAGAAGACAAAACTTCTCAGCCTGGTGTTTCGTTACTCTTTAATGATGCATTCAAGCGATCTTTGTCAGTTCGTAAAGTTGGGAAGTACAACATGAACTCATTGTTATTTGTGTTCCTGTGGTCATCAGTGCTGGTTAACAGGCTACATTTCATGACCTGAGTTTACAACTTGGTATTCACCACTTTGTCAGCCATTTCCTGGTGATAAACTTGAAAACTACTGAGACTGAAAGTTCATTCTTGACCTTGGAAGCAGCAGTTGTTGGAATAATCTAACACAAGGTCCATTGGGTAGCTGTTATGGAGCGTTTGACATGTGTAGATGTTCAAATATACAGTTTGTCTGAGAACTCGTCTGGCTTGGTCCCGATCAGACAGAGCACGTTTTAGCAACCTGGGGTGAGTCTTTGTAATTGTTTGCAATAATAGTTAGACGTTTATCCCACTGCTTTTGCGTTGCTGAGCGCATCATAATTTTCTGCTCCAGGCGCTTTGCCTTTTTGGGGGCACGCTTTGAACGCCTAGGGTTGAATAACTCAGAGATGGGCCTTCTGTGGTGAAGATGGCAACAAGCGGTAGCATATGGTTAAGCTAACATTAGCTTACTGTCGTCTTTGCCCTAGGTAAGCTGTAAAAAATACCTGAACAATTTGCCTCAGCCACTTTCTAACATGTAACAGTGTCCAGTCCCTGAGCGCCCTCTGCCTGTCCATTTTTTATGCGGATTTTAAGATACAGATCTGCGAGTTTACGTCACCGTAGCAGTTAAGCTAAGGAGAGGTGATTCGGTAGCAGCAATATTAAAAAAAGAGGCAGCACACTGCAAAAAGTGTCCTGTCTGATTAGGGCAGTCCAGTGTGCACCATGCACACTGTCTGATCAGGGCCACAGAAGTCTGTAAAGTGCTCAGAGGAATGAAAATTTGAACATCTGTAACTCCTCTGGGCAGCTCTATCTGCTGAAGAAGATTGTGTGATCCAATGAAAGCTCCAGAACAGCTGCAGAATGGACCTTGTGTTGTGCTTATTTTGTCAATTTTCAATTGACTTGAGGAGTAGACGAGGAGCGCCTGAATGCATCATTGGTTTTATGTCCCTGAGGCTACACTGGCCTTCAGCTCCTCTGAAGGACACACTTTCAAGGGCTGCATCCTTCACAGAGGTTGCAGCCTCTGAATTTGGATGCAGTTTTTATCTGGTCAGCCAGCCTCCACTGTCCGATATGATGAACATATCTGACTGAAAATGTTGAAACACAGCCGTTTTGGTAAAGTTTACCAAGTTAAAACTAAAAAGACTTATGGAGCAAAGAAAAAGGCACTGGTAGCTAAATTTGGAAACAAAACAATGTGGTACCAGGCCATTCACATCAGCTTAAATCGTTATTGAATGGACCGACAGTAGACAGACTTGTTACTGGTTACATGCACACAGCCAGTTCCTCCAAAGGACCTCCACGTTGGCGTCAGCAGTGGTCGCTTGCAGAGCCTCTATACTCTCCCTTCGATCAGTCAGTCTAACTCAAATCAACAAAAAGCAGTTGCCAGTGTCACCGCCGGTGTTGTACCAAATAAGAACCAGGTTCTATCGAATGCATCAGTGTCATGTGTCAGTGGGCAGGAAGGAAACCAGGGGTCGAGCGACTCCTGGAGATTTTAACTGCTATACCAAAATTAAAGTGGAGAAATCCTGTCGCGTATGACATTGTGTTTCTGTAGAATGTTTTGATTCTCTGAACTTAACAGCGTCAAAGCAGCCTGGAAGAAAAAAATGTAGATATTTGCTGCTGAAAAGAAAAAAACTGTTTACTTTTTAATTGTTATTTTTGTTTTTATTGTGACACTGGCTACCTACTTTTTGAGCTCTGTTACTTTCTGAAAACCTGAAAGGATGTTGATCAAAGGCAGGATGGGTATACAGGGGAAAAGACTGTACAAGTTCTTTTCTTAGGACTGTTAAACTACAGTTTAAGGTCTAAAGCATGTTGTATTTATAATGGCTATATGTCGTGCCTGTTTTATTATTTTTTTTTCCTAAATTTAAAAACAAATATTATATGCTTTTTATTTGACTACATTGCTTTGCATTCTGTCTTAGTAAAGCCATGTCACATGTCTGTTTTCACTCTAATGTAAACTATCAGATATCACAATAAATTTTCAATGGCATTAAGTCGTGGATTGCGTGAAGTCATCGTTCATTTTTGGGAAAAGATTAATATTAGGAAAGAAATGTTTTTTATCTATAAATGTTTTATCTTTAGACATGTATTTTATGTTTCATGTTCAGATGAATCTTGCTTTGAAATATATACACAAAAAAATGGTAAAAAAAAAAAGGTAAAATCTCAAATATGAAAAATCTAATATATATATGGAGAAAGATTTTAGATAAAATTGGAAATGTGAATATTTTCACTTATTTGTACCTTCAATTTTGTTTGTTTTTTCACAGTTTTTGAGATTTTTTTTGCCTTTAATTGATAGGATAGTGAAGTGTGAAGGGGGAAGAGAGACAGAGAGAGACATGCAGCCAAGGGCCACAGGCTGGAGTTGAACCCGGGCCGCTGCGGCAACAGCCTTGTACATGGGGCGCCTGCTCTACCACTAAACCACCGACGCCCCGTACTGAGTACAATTTAACAGTATTTTTCTTTTGAGTACTTGAGTACTAATTCTACCTTAAAGGTCCGGTGTGTGGGATTTAGGGGGATTAATCGACAGAAATGGAATATGATATAATAAGAATGTTTCCTTCATTTATAATCACCTGAAAATAAGAATCGGCATGTTTTTGTTACCCCAGAAGGTGGCCCTTTATATCTACATAGGGAGCAGGTCCTCGTCCACAGAGATCACTATGTTGTACTGCCATTTTTCTACAGTAGCCCAGAGTGAACAAATATGTCTTGAATGGCTCTAGACAGGGCCATTTGCATTTTCATGTTGGTAGCATCTCTGCAATGAGCAGCATCAGAAAAACACTGACTTGTAACGAAAAACTGCTTTACTCTGTTTTAGCGTTTTAAATTATGGGGTCTGTTTGTTTTGGAGAGGAAGAGACCTCTGCAAATAATTTGCCTTCTGGAAAAAACCTCCTGAACAATAAACACTTAAGGAAATCTTACCGGATGAAGTTTCAGCTGGTGTCAACGTTCAAGCCTCTCCACTAGATGCCATTAAATCCCCCTCAATTTTACACACTTGACCTTTAAGAAACAAAAACAAACTGTCCAAATATTGGTCACAAGTTTTATTAGTTTTGCATTATGAGAGCATTAAAATGTGGAAAGCCACAAGAGTATCACACATAATGAAAACAAAACATCAGCAGTTGTTGCAGGAACACAGAGCTGAAAAGAGGAAGTGGTCGGTTGTGATATGTATGAAAGAGAGATGCAATTAACTTTGTCAGTTTACCACAGAGGCCAAACGTCTGATTAAATAGTACAGGCCTGGCAGAAAATATGTCAGAAAATGCCCTTTATATGTAAAACAATCAGTGGAGCATGAAATTCACTGGTCGCCCTACTGATGTGTGAGTCTCAGACTGAGAGTGGAGAGTGTCAGGCTGGCAGACTGTCAGGTAATTAGTTTAAAACAGAGAGACCTGCAGAGTTTCCACTGATGGCGCTTCTTTTTCTCATTTTTACTGACCTAGAAGTCAGCTGCAGCCAGACGTCCTCCTCCTCACCCAAAAAGAGATTTAGTAAACATCTGCATTTACCCTGAACAAAACTAATCAGCTTTCATCTTGAGTTGTTTCAACTTTTTTGCATTCCTCTGATGTATTTCTATTTATTTTTCCTAAAACAAATGAGAAACCATTCAAAACAACCTCCTCTCTAAGACTTACTGCAGCCCAGAAGAAAATGTTGGCATTGTACGTTTCCGCAAACCATGAATATGTTACATTTACATGTTTCATACGTATCACAATTAAAGTGATGTGGTGTATGAGTTGATTTGTCATGAGGAGATGGAGGGTATGGTGGATGACATGTGACCTAGGCAAGACGCCTGCCAAGCTGCAGACCACTGTCAGAGACCAACAAACAGGTTGTGATTTAGTGAGTCATTGCTGTGTTCACAGCAGCTTTTTAGGCACCAAACATGGGTGTTTTGTAGCGACCTGTTTCTGTTTCCAGCTGAGACAGTGCCATGAAAAGTTGAGTTTTTTTCTACCAAAACATTGCAATGTTTCCTGCGAGATAGTGGAATGAAAAGCGGTTGTTTTTGCAGCGATATTGCTGCTGTTCCTGCAGGGACAGTGCCCCAAAACTGGGTATTTTTGGCCAGAACATGATCTTTTCCTGACTACAACTAAGTGGTTTTTGTGTCTAAATCCAACCACGTCAACCACAGTGTTGTTGAAGTGTAAAGCTTCAACATATCCGCCACATAATAATGTGCAATGTTTTTCTGGCAATTTATTGTCACTAATATGATGAGTCATGATGTGTTGATCTGAAGTGTCAAAGTTTATAAACCATTCATTTCATTAATTCATTCATTTTCCATAACCACTTATCCTGTTAGGGGTTACAGGGGGGCTGGAGCCTATCCCAGCTGACACTAGGCGAGAGGCAGAGTACACCCTGGACAGGTCACCAGACTATCACAGGGCTGACACATAGAGACAGACAACCATTCACACTCACATTCACACCTACGGACAATTTAGAGTTATCAATTACCCTGCATGTCTTTGGACTGTGGGAGGAAGCTGGAGCACCTGGAGGAAACCCACGATGACACGGGGAGAACATGCAGCTCCACACAGAGGGGGTCCCCACCCTGGGTTTGAACCAGGAACCCTCTTGCTGTGAAGCAACAATGCTAACCACTGCATCACTGTGCCATGTTTTTTAAAACAAGTAAAGACACTGTCAGATGCAGTGTAATAAAAATAACATATTGGGTGTATAAAGAAACAAATTCACTGGCATTACAACATCTATCACACAAATAAACCAGGACTGGAATATGAGACCAAACACAAGATGGATAAAATGTTTTTCGTCTTACCTCATAAAATTGCTCAGCTTCATATTTTTATCTCAGTTGAAGAGTGTGAAGGCTCGAGGTGATGACTGAATCTCACCTCTGATTTCCCGGGAGCTTCTCAGTCTGTTCTCACTCTGTTTAACCTGCAGTTGCTGAAAGTTAAGTGAAAGGTTGAATATTAATATTGTGTATCATGAGAAGAACTCTTCATTGTTTATGTGTGTGAGCAGTGTGCGTGCGAAATAAAGAAGCTGGGCACCCTTTGGGGGGTTCGCAAGTTCACACATTATATGAGGTAAAAACTAAAAACAGAAATAGAAATGCATAAAAACCATAAATAATCCATTAGCTTTTGGAGGATGGAGTTTAAAAAGACTTTGTGCCAAAAACAAAACATAAACCTCACAAACTGACTACATATTTACTTCATAGCACTGTCAGGTTAGCACCTAAAAAATTATCTTCACCTGTTGGGTTTGTTGTTTCCTTAAAGGGACAGTTCACCCCCAAATCAAAATACACATTCGTCCTCTTACCTGTCATGCAGTTTATTAGTCTAGTTTGTTTTGGTGTGAGTTGCAGAGTGTTGGAGATATCGGCCGTAGAGATGTCTGCCTTCTTTCCAATGTATGGAACTAGATGGTACTCAGCTTGTGGTGCCAAAATATACATTTTAAAAACTCAACAGCAATGTATCTTTATAGAAATCATGATCCAGTCACTCAAGATAACCCACAGACGTGGTTGTGAGCAGTTTCATGCAGGAACTATTTTCTTTACACCAAACTACACCTGCCGACCATATCACTGCGCAGAGGGAAGCATGCATCTACTGCTAGGTCACCTAGCACAATTGAACTAACATTACATCTCAGCTGAGGAGGATGCCATTAATGTTTACATCACGCGCTGTCATGTCAACTTGTTCAAACCAAAGATTCGTAACAAGATGAGTTGACACAGGCAACTACTTCCAATGCACCGTTCTGCAACTTTCTAAAAACCTGATGGTTCACACCAGTGCAACTAGATGAGACGGTGTATCATCTCTATGCAACAACTCTCTGTACTTCTGCTCTTTTTTCCAGCTTTTCAGGTTTATTTTGTGGCTGAATATAATTTGTAGCTTCTTAAAATATGAATGAGGATAGTGATAGTGAGATACTGGCTACAGCTGCATTTGTAGTAGAGATGAAATGATAAAAAAACAGAAACAAAACGAGCATCACGTGGACTGTATTCATAATAAATAAGTAATAATAATATTAAAAGGCAGTGCCGATTAATCAGTCAAAGAGAATGTGAGTGTGGGCGGGGCATAAGCACATAGGCACACTGTGCGGACGGACACAGAGGGCTCAGCAGGGACAGAGCAAGCGAACACACCGTCTGCAGTCATTTTGACTTGACCAGCGGACTTCACTACAAGCTGATTGCTGACATGCTTTATGTTCTAAAACCAGCTGCTGGCGATTTGACCATCAGAGTTGCAGGTGACACCATCAGCCGGGTTGAGTCTAGCTCAGACCGGCCAGTTCACACCGCCACAACTTTTCTCTGCAACGTTCTGAAACGATGTTGTGAATCTTTGGTCTGAACTGAGCTTTAGAGCCGAGAAGGAGAGCTGACTTCCAGTAGTGTAATGTTACCTGTTAGCAAAATGTCAACTGAATAATAAAAGAAAGTTCTGTGGCACTTATTCTCTGTATGGCATGTTCATGTTTTACAAAAAGGGTTTAACCTGCTCCCTTCATTACAACAATGCTTGGCATCAGCCGATACACAAGTTCAGGTATCAGTGTTGTGAGGGGGAAAATGGTATCGGGACATCTCTAGTTCCTACTGTACATGAAAGTGCTTTCAACAAGGTCTGTGGATCATCTTGAGTAACTGGGTCATGATTTCTGGAAAGACACATTGCTGTTGAGTTTTTCAAAATATTCTTTTTGGCGCTTTAAGCACCACAAACTGAGTGCCATCTGGTTCTATTATGTTAGAGAGAAGACGGCTGATATCTCCAACACTCGGCAACCCACACCAAAACAGCCTACATTGATAAACAGCACTACAGGTAAAAGGAAAAACACTGATTTTTGATTTTGCGGTGAACGGTCCCTTTAAGCTTGTTTATCTCTCCATCCTCTGTCTGCTTTAGTTCTTGCTCAC